TTCACTGATATATATAATGTGTCATTGTTACAAGCTGCACTATCTTCTTGCTTTAAATCTACTACTATTGTTCCATTACCTAAAAATTCAGCAGTAACATACTTAAATAATTATCATCCAATTGCTCTAACACTTACCATCATTAGGTGTTTTGAGAAGCTTGCACACTTTGTTTTATCAAATCGTAAGGTAAGCATCCCTGTTGATCTGGGTAAGTATCAGTTTGCCAATTGAGTAAACAGAATGACAGATGATGTGATTTCTATTGTTTTGCATATTGCTTTGACACACCTTGTGCACTCAAACACATACTGTATGTTACAATGTTATTCATTGATTTTAGTTCAGCATTTAACACAGTAGTTCCTGACAAATTAGTGAAGAAGTTAATGCATACCAGACCCTTATCCGAGCATGCAACCAAGCAGGTCAGGAAATGCGGGAATGAGTGAGCATCCAACGCCTCCTGAACAATACCAGGCCACATGCCCTCAACAGGGGAGGTGCTTTGGGGCAGGAGGGCTTCCCCCACCCAAAGCACCTTGTCCCCATGTTGATGGGGACAAGGGCCTCTTTCCCACAACCATGGCTGGTGGTTGTGGAGGTCGTCAGGTGGAGGGCTTATCAAAATATGAAAGCCCCGTTTAGCAAGGGGGCCCCCAGATGCCAGCCCCCCATGTGAATGAGTATGGGGTATATGATACCGCTACCCATTCCCAAAAAAAGTGTAATATATAAATGACACGAGACAGTCTTTGACAAAGTCCCTTAATAAGAACAAAAATAAAAAAAAATGTCCCCCAAAGTAGATCCAATGCCAATCTCGATGCCCAACACCACTGCCGACCCGAAAATAGAAATTAAAAAACCGCTCTGCTCTTAACGCTGGCTCCTGACAGCTGTGCCAGAATGACAGTTCTTAAATAGTGTGATGACGTCACCATGACAATGTGACATCATCATGCTCTGTGATTGGCCAAAGCGTTGCACCTGACCTGTGGCCAATCACAATGCACTGTCATGGCTCAGTGTTTGTGGGGTGTGACGGTCTTGTGAACAGCTGGCTCAGTGCATTGTGGGGTGTGACGGGGGATGAACAGCTTATGTTCTTCTCGAACATGAAGCCCAACCCTACTGATGACACCACTTTAGTTGGACTCATAGAAGATAATGTTGAGACAGCTTAATGGCATGAAATGCAACATTTGGTTGAGCTTTGAAGAAGAAGTAGAAGAAGGGGAGGATCAGAGAAGACGGGATCAAACAGCCTTTTTACACAATGCACTTAGGTTTCACGGTGAGTATAACAAGCATGCTTTACTGCATATACAGACTGATTTAACTGTTGTGGGTTTAATAACACTTTTAAGTGGTTGTAAACCTCTGAAAGGAAAAATGAACAAAGCCTCTATAGCGTGTACTTGCCCCAATCCAAAGCACCTGGTTACAATCTGCTATATCTTCAGTCTGCTTTCTACATGAGTCACTGCTGACAGGTTATACCTACACCACAGAATACTTGGGGACAGCCCCACCACCCTCCTGCACATAGTAGGCGATTTACAGCTTCAGCTGTAGCTTCAGCTGTACATGTTTCCCTATGCTACTATGTGTAGAGCGGATGTGTCCTTTCCATCCACTCAGGTCTCAGATTACGCTCAGCTCTCCTCTCTGTGCACTGCAGTGTTAAGTGATATCAGATCCCTGTCCCCAGTGCCTGTTAGAGCTTAGAAATGCTTTCGTGTAAAAAGTGTGCTGTTAGCTTTTTTATGAGGCATGTAGAGGAATGTCGACGGATAGTTCGCGGATGAGTGCTACACTATTCTGTTACAACCTATTAGCTGTGGGTTGCAGGATAATACGGTTTCATCTCTGTGGTCCTCAGACAGTTATCACTTTCTGTTGTCCATGCTTAAGGCCAGTCATTTCATTGGGTATATGTAAGGGATAAAACCATTTTAAAGTGGTATTAAACCCAAAACTAAAAATATAATATATTGCAGCTTAACAATCATTAGATAAATGGTGGTGATTGCATTAGTCTTTTTTTTACCCCTATTTTCCCCTGGTGATCTGGACAGTAACACATATCCTGTATCATACAGACACCACTCCTGGATGAAAGAGCACAGAGGGAATCTTTGGACAGCAGCATTGTCAGTCTGGGGGACGGGAGTGTTCGATGCATCAGATTTAAATACGGTAGCATATTAAAAGCCAAACTTCAGCTAATATGTTTTAATCAGTTACCGCAAACATTTTCTTTTCTTTTGAGATAAAGGTTTTCCAAAAATAAATAAAAGCTGATCATTATAAGCACCTTTGTCAGTGTTAAATGGTTTGTCTCATCCCTGTAACTGCAACTTTCTGTTAAAAAAACAAACATGAAACTAGAAGAAAAAAAAACCTAAAAAGGGAAACTAATACAGCTATTACATCTAATAAATGGTAAGCTGCAGTATAATAAAAAGTTTGATTTTGCATTTAATACTGCTATAATACTGCAAAAACTTAGGAAATAATTGTTGATTATAGGCGATCAACAAAAGATCAATCATTCCCCATTATATATGGATAGTGAGGAGGAGGAAAGGATGGGCATGCTCACATTTTTGGGTGTGCATGTTATGAGGAAGATATCAAAATACTTATTTTCTGGTGAAAAAGCTCAACAGAGATTCAGTGATTGAGATGGGCTGGATGTCACTTAAGGATTCTGGTCCATTTTTATCATTGCACCGTTGAGAATATTCTTCTGCATTGTTCTGTAGTTTAGTATGTCAGCTGCAGGGTGGAAGATAAGAAATGCCAGTGTGGGGGCACTGAGGATCATAGATATGGATCTATCAAATTTGGATACAGCATACTGTATGTCAGTTGAGAAAAAAAAACAAGCAAAAGCTATTAATAGTGATCCGTCCCAGTCAGGTTACAGTGTTTTCTCCATTGCCATCAAGGAAAAAAATTAGGACACTTGAAATGCACACTAATTGCTGAAAGTATAGTTTTGGCTTTTTTTGCATGTGCTGTAGTGTCTAAAAAGTCTTAAGAATTCTATGTGAAATATTTTCTTTTTTGAAATATTTTATATTTTTGCTATCTTTAAGGACAGATATGTGGACATGTGTTAAGAAGTATGCATGCTGAAAGATGTTTTTTTTTAATTAATGTTGTAAAGAGTGCCTTGATAAATCTTTTTCTATGTATACAATGACAAAACAGAATTATAAAAAAAATACTACTAGACTACTGGTGTTTTTGATACTGTTTTCCACCGAGTCCTCCTAAAAAAAATCCACTCTGCTGGTCTCAGAGACTATGCTTTTTCTTGGTTCTCCTCCTATATATTGACACATTCCTTCAGTGTTGCCTACAGCTGTTTCCTCCTATCCACTTCCTCTTTCTGTAGGGGTCCCCCAGGCACAGTCTTTGGAGTCCTTCTCTTCTCTGTCTACACCTCCTCCCTTGGTCATTTGATAACCCCTTACAGCTTCCTCTACCATCTATGTGCTGCTGACACCCAAATCTTTGTCTGTTCTCCTCACCTAATTCCTTCAGTCTCCTTTCGCATTACTAACTGACATATCAGTATGGGTTTTACACCACTTTCGTAAGCTAAGGAAAGCCAAATGTGGTAGGAATCATAAACTAAAAATACACTGTCCATAAGATGTCATCCTGAAAATCAAAGGTAAGAAAACCCTCTATGACAACATGGGGAACAAAATAAGGAACTTTGAATGCACCTAATGAAACCAATTTGACATATGTACATACGTATATTTAAAAAACGGTATTATTATATATTATATAATACATGTTAAAATGACAAATGTAAAATATCCACATAAACACCTAAGATATAGGCAGTAATTACTGTATGTATACTAAGCATATAATATCAACATGTTTTGTGATGGTCACTTCTTCAGGATAATCTCTCAGATTAAAGCCAAATATCCAAGTTAAATATACAGATAAAATTAAAAGAATGATAGGTATTTATCAGAGCCATATATGGGTAGCATGGGGTGCTAGCCCAGAAAAAGATGGGAGAAGTATGCTTGTAAATTGTTTGTAAGATGTTACATCTCAAAATTACAGTCATAAATCCATAAGGAAAAGCAAAATTATACTTAACAGCGCTCAAACTAAATCTTTATACCGTATTTGCCGGCGTATAAGACGACTGGGCGTATAAGACTACCCCCCTACTTTTCCTGCTAAAATGTAGTGTTTGGGCTATACTCGCCGTATAAGACTACCCCTCTTCCAATGCACACCAGTGGGAGGAATAGTGCCCCATCATTGGTATCAGTGGGAGGAATAGTGCCCCATTATTGGTATCAGTGGCAGGAATAGTGCCCCATCATTGGTATCAGTGGCAGGAATAGTGCCCCATCATTGGCATCAGTGGCAGGAATAGTGCCCCATCATTAGTATCAGTGGCAGGAATAGTGCCCCATCATTGGTATCAGTGGGAGGAATAGTGCCCCATCATTAGTATCAGTGGGGGGAATAGTGCCCCATCATTGGTATCAGTGGGGGGAATAGTGCCCCATCATTGGTGTCAGTGGGAGGAATAGTGTCCCAACATTGGTGTCAGTGGGAGGAATGGTGTCCCATCATTAGTGTCAGTGGGGGGTGGAATAGTGCCCCATCATTGGTGTCAGTGGGGGGTGGAATAGTGCCCCATCATTGGTGTCAGTGGGGGGTGGAATAGTGCCCCATCATTGGTGTCAGTGGGGGGGGGATAGTGCCCCATCGTTGATGTCAGTGGGGGGGAGGAATAGTGCCCCATCATTGGTGTCAGTGGGGGGGAGGAATAGTGCCCCATCGTTGGTGTCAGTGGGGGGGAGGAATAGTGCCCCATTGTTGGTGTCAGTGGGGGGGAGGAATAGTGCCCCATCGTTGGTGTCAGTGGGAGGAATAGTGCCCCATCGTTGGTGTCAGTGGGGGGGAGGAATAGTGCCCCATCGTTGGTGTCAGTGGAGGAATAGTGCCCCATCATAGGTATCAGTGGGAGGAATAGTGCTCCATCATTGGTATCAGTGACACCAATGATGGGGCACTATTCCTCCCACTGACACTTGCTGACTCTGTTCTCGTATGGTGCTGCTGCAGCCAGCATATGTGGTTGCAGCAGCACCTCTACACTGACCACTTACCTGCTGGTCCTGCACTCGATTTTCGCGGGGCCGCTCGGCTCCACCCCCTCGCCGGTGATTGGCCGCCTGTGTGCCTTTCCTGAGCTACAGTTCTGGCAGCCAATCGCTGGTGAGGAGGCGGAGCCGAGCAGCCGCGCAAACATCCAGTGGCCGAACTGAAGGCGCTTCCTGGACCGGATCGTCGTGGGACCGGAACCAGGTAAGAAATAGCCCCTGCCCACCCCTGTACTTAGTGTCGCTTCCGTTAGGGGAAGGGGGGGGGGGCGGGGGCGGCACCGCGCCGCCCCCCTAAAAAGTGTCAGTATGCCGTATACCGGCGTATAAGACGACCCCCGACTTTTGAGAAGATTTTTAAGGGGTAAAAAGTCGTCTTATACGCCGGCAAATACGGTAACTCACTTCTCAAAGGCCTACCTCTACCCAGGATATCCCTTTTCAGGTTATCATGAATGCTGCTGCCAGACTCGTCTACTTTCCAACCATTCAGTGTCTGCCAACCCTCTCAACCAATTTCTCCACTGGCTTTCGATTGCCCAACAAATAGCATTCAAAATGCTAACAAATGCTATTTACAAATCTGCCCCAACCTACATCAATCTTGGTTGAATATATTACCTAGCTTCCTTGTCTCCTCCTCCCATGATCTCATCTAGGGTTTCTCCAAAGCATAACCCATCCTCTGGAACTCCTTATCCTAAACTATCAGGCTATCTATCACGTACCTGGTGATGGAGGCCAATGGAGAGAGGGCTTCCCTTGTGGCTAAGTTCCGGACTCCCCTGAGAGTGGGACAGTGGGAGTCAGGCCCAAAGTTGCACAGGTCGCCTGTAGGAGTGCTGGTTGGTGGTGCACTCAGAAGCACAGCTGGTGCACAGAGATAGGTCTGCAGACAAGAGACGCCTGTGCATGGTATGCAAGCCCTTCCGGGATTTGGATGTTTACTGGGTAGTCGGTTCAAGCCAAGGTCAGGTACCAGGTGGGAATCAGAGTGGACGTAGTCAGATGGGATAGCCGAGGTGTGACATAAATGTGACATAAATGTACAGATTTGAGTAGATAAAATGTGACCTGTAGAAAATATGACAATGTAATCCTAAATGTAGTTTCAGTCCTTGTCATTAAAGAAATAAGGTATTCAGAGACAGATGGTCATCAAATTAGCATCTGAAGGGACTAGCTTCCTCTGGAAGTGGCACCTGGGTGCTAATAAGATTTTGTCACCTATACGTAATCAGACTCTGCCATCTTCCTGAAGCTGAAAAGAGAAACGCAGATGTTTCAGCTCCATGAAAATCTGTCACGGGTTCACCCACATGCCACGCCCACAGCGACTAGCTAACCGAGGCGCGCACTTGCGGCCGTGACTTTGGGCAAGAGAGAATAAAGGAGACTTTGAATATATAAAACCGTATATAAAACCAGCCGTGATGTACTTTCACAGCCCGCACTACCTCTTGGCCACCACCGGAGGGAGACTCCACTCCTATCCAGATAAGCTGCTCCTCAACTTGCTAAACTGCTCCTCAACTCTAATCAGTGCACCAGATTGTATATAAGATTTATATCTGCCAGTGTGTGGTCAGCCACGCAATGACTGGTCCGGGGCCAACTGGTGTGCACCCTGAGTCACCACTGCAGCAGAGGGAAGGTCTGCCTTGCAAATGTCATTACATTTGGCATCACATAACACATTGTCAGTTGCAGAGTCCTCTGGATCTAAAAACTCTTCTCCAGGCCTTGACTCCAGACATCCACTAGAGCCCTGGTACACAGTCCTTCACCCCCTGACCCTCCCCAGAATTCCCAGTGCACTGAGTCACTCAACAGTACGTTACGTGACTCTGAGGCCTCAGGTGGAAATGTAGACTTCAGGGGTGTTGACTTTGACTTGTTCTGGGTTACCACCCGCCCCAGGTCAGTACCCGATAGTATGTTAGTGGTATCTGCTATTCCCACTTCTCTCACTTTGCTTCTGGATCCTTGGGGCAAAGCAACACAAGCTGTAGGTAGTACAGGGGTGACTCCTCCAACCCCTATGATAACTGTGGCTTTCATTGGGACCACATCCTCAGGACTCCTCAATCCTGGAACAGCTAGGACATTCTCTGATCCCGTACCTTGTAGTCCAACTGTAACGCTGTTACTTGCAGTAAATGGTGGCTGGTTATCCACCCAGCCTCCTCCATTTTCTCCAACACGAAACACAGTAAGGGGGTAAATTTTCCGCACTTGCTGGTGGGCTAGATATCCTCATGTTTGGACAGGGCCGTGCGTAATGTCCCACTTGGTAACAGATAACGCACTTCCAGGTCTCCATAAATGTAGGTCTGCCTCTTGTAGTTCTTGATGCAGATGGCAATAACAGTGCATTACCCTGCTGGATTTGGGCCCTCTCAGTTTTGTGCCTTCTCTCAATTTGATCCATCCACCACGATTTTTCAAGACACAGTAACACGGAAATGAGCTGAAACTGCAACTCGGGGTCATCACTTCTAAAAAGCTGTAGGTTTGTTCCCAGCGAATCTCTGGGTGTGCTGATTTCTTGTACAGAGAGGGTTTGAGAACAGAGTCACACCGATTCAGGCAGTCATCTGGAGTGGCACAGTTGCAGGGTGTCAGGAATGGACTTGCCAATAATGGTGGGACTCACCTGCCTTGTGGGCTGCAGTACCAGGGCTGGCCAGTGGGTGCTCTCAGCAATCAGAGACTCACCCCTGCAATCAGCCAAACACCTGAAGCTGATTGCAGGGGTTGTATTTAAGGAATGGCCAGACTCACAGTCAAGGCTTTGGTGTGTGTTTTCCATGGGCCCCTGTATCTTGTATCCTGTATTCCTGTTCCTGTTCCTGTTTCTGTCTAACTTGTTGCCGACCCTGCCTGATCCTGACCTCTGCTGACTTCTCCTGTTTGATTCCTGGCTTGTGACCCTGACCATTCTCTGCCTGACCCTCTGTACCGCGCTGCCCGTGAGTTACTGAACCCAGCTTGTGACCCTGACCACTCTCCCGCCTGTTCCTGGTACTCCGTTTGCCCGCTTGCTACTGACCCGGCCTGCCTGACGACTCTTGCATTGTATGTATTGTTATCTGTGGGTGGTTTGGTTTGGTTTGTTTGCACTGTGTTTAGGTTTAGTTTTGCACTGCGTTTTGTATTGTTAGTCTTAATAAATTATATTGTTTATACCATATCTGAAGCCTGCGTTTCCCTGTGTCAGTCCACACACCTCTGGTCATACCTGGAGCCCTGACACAGGGTTTCACCGACATGGTGCGCTGTTCTAACTCCATCTCTATCAAAGCACCCAGGAGCTGGTACCTCATCTTGCCAACTGTATTGATGTCCTTTAGATCACAGTCACAGTTTCATCAGATTTTCTCAGGTACCAGCGTATTAACTTATCTTCCTGGGTTACCATCTTCACGTTCACGGGTTCACCCACATGCCACGCCCACAGCGACTAGCTAACTGAGGCGCACACATGCAGCCGTGATTGGGGTAAGATAGAATAAAGGGGACTTAACTTCGAATATATAAAACCGTATATAAGACCAGCCGTGATGTACTTTCACAGCCCACACTACCTCTTGGCCATCACCAGAGGGAGATTCCACTCCAATCCAGATGGCTGACCACACACTGGAAGATACAAATCTTATATACAATCTGGTGCACTGATTAGAGTTGAGGAGCAGCTTAGCAATCACACACCCTTCTAGGATTCCTCCAACTATCCTACAGCTGGGCCTCGTTAGAAGGAAGCGGGAGTGAATGCTGTTCAGACAGTGTGTGCTGTGTCAGGTCCTGCTAGGCCTCAATCTGAGCCGAGGACTAGATTTCTGGCACTATCCAGGAGAGGATGGCGGAGCCCGGCCGTGATCCGGGTGGAGGTGACCCCGTAGGGACACTTAGTACCGGTCCTGATGCCATGCCAGTGGAGGACCTGGGAAAAGGCCCTAAAGCAGGGGAAAATGATGCTGCTTACAGGGGGAGAGTTACATCTCAAATCAGAAGGATTGAGAGAGAGGAAGAGAAGCTGAAGCAAATGAAGATGGAGTTGAAGCATTTTAAGGCTGCCTATGATCGTGTATGGAGTACAAAACGTCAGGCCATGTGGCCAAAGCTGGAGGAAATGGAGCGGGCCGTCCGGGACACCTCGTGGCCACACTCAAAGCTGCGAGCGGCGCCCTCAGAGAGCGGTATATCAATGGGGAGCATTTTAAAGCTGCTCGGGAAAAGTATTTTGCATCTGGGAGAGGCCGGGCGGAGAACCTGTCATCAGAAGATTCCTCTGATCATGCAGCAACAGCCCCAGCAGCAGAGTGTCAGCGTGCAGAGGAAGCCATGGAGGCCGTGACGGTGGAAGAGGAGCAGGGATCTATCCCTCCCCAGCAACCGGTGCGGGATTGGGCTTCAGAGATACCAGATGAAGCTATAGAGGGGTGATGGAGTTTATTGGGGAACTGGAATCCCCCCTGCAGGGGAGACAGTTCACTTTTTCCTCAGCAGACACTGACCCGGAAGATGATGTGGTTCCCAAACTGATGAGGCCCAGGAGAAAGGAGAGAGCTGCCTTTGTTCTACTGGAGCGTTTGCCCAGTGAGATAGAGAAGGCAGCCGGCTTGAGGGAGGTGAGCGGTGCGGCAATGAAGCTGCAGGGAGCACCGGGGACTGTAAGTAAGGCTATGGACGGTTCTGTCATGTCTGCTGGTAATGCTGTGTACAAGATGTGGGTACTATTGTGGTACAAGATGTCCCAGAACCCTTGTATGTGCCTGACTCGGCAGCAGCTGAGTCCAAGGCTGTGTCTGCTCTGGGTCTTTGATCTGTTCCCATCCTGGCTCACGCCGCTGTTCCCGCCCATGTTCCCACCCCTGCTG